GAAATGGAGTTGGCTGAATTTAAGGTTGGAAAAATTAGATGCAGAGAAACAAACTGACAGATTAATCCAACCTTAAGTACAGCCTTAGTACATCAAAGGACTATATCAAGTACTGTACCCTCTTCCAACTTTTCCTTCAAGAAAAAGTTGAGTTGGATATGCTACAAGTAGCTTCCAGACCTTAAAACCTACTGTATTCCTGGAAATTGAAGAAACCATCTTTACTTCCTCTAAATTAGAAGACTCTAATTTAACACTTGCTAAGACAGCTGGAGCTTTCTTGATGATAGGAATAATTTCAGCAACATCATGCAGGCAATAAACATGTTATGGTGTCTATAAGAATCTGCAGTGCCTCTCTTTTGAAGTCTGATATATAGCACACTATATTTATATATATATTTGCTTTTGCACTGTTGAAATGTTTTATATTGACTAATAAGGAAATGATATCATTTGTAATCCAGGCACGTATGAAAATGTAAATGGAAAGTATTTTCAGTACTTAGGAAAGCTCAACCTTGGGTTATTTTTGTTTTGTTTTTTAGTTTTCTGCTAAAAACTGCTGTGCTGTGTGAACTCTATGCCAAAAGTACTGCAGTGTGTAAACAGAATATCTAATTTTTATGGAATGTGAAATGTTACACTCTTGCATGGTGAGACCTTTAGTAATTAGTCTCTCCCACCCCTGCAAGACACTACTATATGATGGCTTGCTCCAGTCACGTAATGGATTTGCTTGTCTAGTTATTAACAGAACCTCTTGCAATGGGGCAATTTGGTGTCATAAATCTTATTTTGTTGTGAATTGTTTTCTTTTCCTTCTCTTTGTCTTCATTCTGACTTTGCAATAAACATTTTGACAGGAAGAAAATCTGTGGTCCCGTATAAAAATATTAGGGGTTAGATGAGGGACACGATGTTTCTACGCCAGCTATTTCACACATGGCTTCTCCATTTTGGGTTTGTTTCTGTTAAATAACTCACGGCACAGTGTAATATGTCATGCGTTGTTGTTCATCTGAGGTTGTATTTACCTAATTTTAAGATCTGCTAAGGAACAGGTGATTGCTATTATGTCCTGGTATGTAAAACCACAGGTTTCAAATAGGGTGTACTTGGTTTTCCCCACGACTGCACATACATATATACCATATTTTTCACACCATAAGACGCACCAGACCATAAGACGCACCTAGTTTTTGGAGGAGGGAAACAAGAAAAGAAATATTCTGAATCCCAGAAGCCAGAACAGCAAGAGGGATCGCTGCGCAGCGAAAGCATCAATTCCTCTTGCTGTTCTGGCTTCTGGGATAGCTGCACAGCCTGCATTCGCTCCATAAGATGCACACACATTTCCCCTTACTTTTTAGGAGGGAAAAGGTGAGTCTTATAGAGCAAAAAATACGGTACATCATTTTATTTGCATGCCACCTTTCTGTACTGCAGATGATGCTCAAGGTGGCTTACAACATGGAAAAAACGACAAAAGTAGTCATAAAGATAAATAAAACATCAAAAAGTACACAACTAACTTGAACAATGTCCACATAAAGAAGATCTAAATAAAGAAGATCTAAGATAAAGATACAAAAAAATTAATATCAATAGCGGCAGCAACCACACCAAACCCCCTTAAACAACACCCCAGACCAAGTCTGTTCAGCAGCCTTAGCTTTTGTAGCTGGAGTCAAGTTACAAGACCAAGTAGAAAAAGGCATGCAAGTCAGAGAACAGGTCTTCCAGGACTCACAACCAAGATGGCCCATGCAATGTTGCTTCCACGCTTAGGAACTAAGTCCCAAGGAGTGTGCAAAACATAGAAGACTGGGATGCAGTGCGTCGATTGGTGGTGAATTCATGTGGAAGTAACTTTCTACGGGGTGAAAAAATTGTGGTTTTGCCCTTAGGTATGGCACCATTGCTCTACAATCTCACACCCAATAAGGTCTCTTTAATGTAAATCTTTGGGATAGTGTTTGATTGGTTGCATTGGGATTATCGCTTGGACCGAATGAAACCGCAACTAGTAGAACATGGCAAGTAGGAGCTCCACAAACTGTTGCAACCCTCTGTTCAGGATTTCAGGCGTGTCCTCCTCCAATATAATATAAGCTGCTAGGAGCTCAAGCAGGTGATCCCGTTCTCCTCCTCCTGTTTCTTTTTCTTCTTCTAGTGAAACTCAAGATTCCATAACTTGCTGAGCATATTTAGCGCCCAGTGAACTGGGTTAGGGGGAAAGGGGTTCCCTCTATTTACAAACTTGTATACTTTGGCCTACATGGGAGTTCACCGATTATCTAGAAATAACTTCCTCCTTTTATCAATGAAGTTGTGCTTCCAAACTGATTTAATTTAATTTATTAAATTTTATGCCACCCTCCATCTGAGGATCGCAGGGCGGTTTACGATATCAAAACACAAAAATATACAACACAGTAACAAACGAAAGCAATACCCCCCCCCACAGTTTAAAGAACCATAAAGGTAAAGGGACCCCTGACCATTAGGTCCAGTCGTGACCGACTCTGGGGTTGCGGCGCTCATCTCACTTTATTGGCCGAGGGAGCCGGCGTACAGCTTCCGGGTCATGTGGCTAACATGACTAAGCCGCTTCTGGCAAACCAGAGCAGTGCACGGAAATGCCGTTTACCTTCCCGCTGGAGCGGTACCTATTTATCTACTTGAACTTTGACATACTTTTGGCAGGACCAAGCAACGGGAGCTCACCCCGTCGTGGGGATTCAAACCGCCAACCTGATGGGCAAGTCCTATGCTCTGTGATTTAACCCACAGCGCCAGGCCAAATATTGTTATGAATATCTTCCTATGAAGCATATGATTTCATAATACAGTAAAGAGCATACATAAAGCAGATGCATATATGATGTCAATTAAAAACAAACGCAAATGTTTTTAAAACTTCAATGCAGATACTGGCTGTGATAGAAGGTTGGTTGAAAAATGAAAGGATAGGCACTCAGCCATTCAGCAAACTTTTTCAGCAGGGGTCCGGTCCATTGTCTCTCAGAACTTGTGGGGGGCTGGACTATATTTTGAAAAAAATAATAATGAACGAGTTCGTATGCCCCACAAATAACCCAGAGATGCATTTTAAATAAAAGGACACATTCTACTCATGTAAAAACACGTTGATTCCCGGACCGTCCGTGGGCCGGATTTAGAAGGCGATTGGGCCAGATCCACCCCTCTGGCTTTAGTTTGCCTACCCATGACATATATAGAAGGTGGGAACTGCCACACAACCCTTTTCCTCTTCAGAGTTCCAGCCAACCATCCTTTGTGCTCCATTCCATTCTCCTCTGATTTTCAATTGTTTTTCCACACATACCCTACAACTGTCAATCAACCATTTGTTTCTAGTGAGCATGCTCAGTGCTCTTTGGCTATTCCAGGTCCCTCCACCAAGCATTTTCAGTACCTATTTAATACCGTTTTTCTCACTTTTGCAAAATTTCAGAGTCCCCCCAAGCCTGCGGTTTTTTGCATCTTGTATGGGGGCAACTTCATTGTGGCTGCAAAAGGCTCCACCCTTAGAGAACAAGTTTTGTGTTTGATATATAGGAGAAACAAACACTTGGATAATGGGTGGTGCTGGCAACTTTAGTTTGTTTAGCATGAGTTAGTTTATTGCCAGGGAACTTAAGAAGAAGTTCATATCAGATCAGAAAGCCTTAACCTGCTGAGATCCAGTTAGATTTCCTACAACTTCACCTTCCGAGCATCAAACTGCACTAGGTCTCATCCTGGTCTCATCCATTCAATTGCTAAAGTAGATACCGTACTTTTCCCGTGTATAAGACAATGTTTTTTCTTCAAAAATCATGCTAAAAAGTGGGGGTCGTCTTATACATGGGTAGTGCATTGGGTGGACGTTTGATAGGTTGCTGCTGCGTCTGTCAGCGGCTATTGTGCTCGTTTAATCTCACTGCAAACAAGTGGTACAGTGACAATAAAGTATTTCTATTTCTATTGGTTGCTGCATTAATGGGTGGTGTTGATTGGCTGACGCTCCAGCAGTTGGGCGGGCAATTAGCAGCTTCCACCGTTGAAGGGACAAAGGGACGCGGGTGGCGCTGTGGGTAAAACCTCAGTGCCTAGGACTTGCCGATCGTGACCCGGAAGTGTCTTTGGACGGCGCCGGCTCACGGCCTCTAGAGTGAGATGAGCACGCAACCCTAGAGTCGGACACGACTGGCCCGTATGGGCAGGGGTACCTTTACCTTACCGTTGAAGGGACAGACGGGAGGCGGATTTTGCGCCACGTGTGGGTTAGCAATTTCCGGCAATTTCCCCTAAAAAAAGCTCAACAACTCTGTGCCATCTCCCCCCATTTTCTTAAATTTGAGTCCTCCCTCAATAGGGGGCATCTTATACATGGGGGCGCCTTATAGATGGAAAAGTGTGGTAATGCTTTTCAAATCTGGGAATCAAATTTGGATGTTTGCTGATTTTGAAATGGTATTCTTCCATCACTGTGGTTTGTCTCAACTAGCAATCAATTAAACATTCGTTACAAATTTTTGCAACTCCCAAATATTGAAATATGAATCTCGAACAGCCTAGTCGACGCTAAGCTTACAAACCTAAAAGCAAGTTCAAATTATAAAACATTTAATTAATTCGAAGTTGGTTTAGCTCAAGTTTTATTTCCTCGTGCACCAGGAGCAGAAGGGCTGAAATTCTGACTTAAAATAAAATAAAAACACTTCCCTGCTACCATAAACCAGCAGGAACGAGCAAAAACTGAGGTGAAATGGAAATGACTTGGCTGAATGGAGAATAGTTTAGCTTCAAATCGAAATGTATTTTTATCAGTCATATGCAAGTAAGGCAGATTGTCCGTATTAATTTTCTCCTTGGAGAAGGAAAAAAAAGGGATCTGAATGCTAAATAAATAATCAACTTCTAAATGAAAATGGATGTCAAGAGTCACAAAAAAGAAAGAATGCACCATTAAATTCATATTTCTTACGCAGTTGCTGCCTTCCTTTGATATCTGTGCGTGGACTGAAGAAGATGTGGTAAGCAGCCTTTTATTAATTAAAACATCCTTTTTTTGTTTGTCTAAGAATTCTTACTTTAAGTAGGCCACTCAGGGCTAAGCAATAAACCTGCAGCTGTGTGAAATAGCAACCAATGGCTGCTTCTCCCTTGTAGTTTAAGAGGAGAATACAGTGGTACCTTGGTTCTCAAACTTAATCCGTTCCGGAGGTCTGTTCCAAAACCAAAGTGTTCCAAAACCAAGGTGCACTTTCCCATAGAAAGTAATGCAAAATAAATTACAGTGGTGCCTCGCAAGACGAAAAGAATCCGTTCCGCGATTCTCTTCGTCTAGCGGTTTTTTCGTCTTGCGAAGCAAGCCCATTGACAGCTTAGCGGATTAGCGCTACAGCGGTCTAGCGGCTTTTCGCGATCAGCTGTTAAGCGGGTTATCAGCGGAACAGCTGATAGGCGGCTTAGCGGCTTAGGAAAAGGGGGGGGAGCGAAAAAACCCGCGGGGACGCACAAGATTTTTTCGTCTTGCGAAGCAACCCCATAGGGAAATTCGTTTTGCGAAGCGCCTCCAAAACGGAAAACCCTTTCGTCTAGCGGGTTTTCCGTCTTGCGAGGCGTTCGTCTTGCGGGGCACCACTGTAATCCGTTCCAGACTTTTAAAAACAACCCCTAAAACAGCAATTTAACATGAATTTTACTATAATGAGACCATTGATCCATAAAATGAATTGCAATAATCAATGTACTGCACTATAAAATAAATAAGAAAGAATTGTAGATGATAAAAATTAAAGTTATTATTTTTTCTTACCTGCACTGATGATAGTCATTGTTTGGATGGGGGGCTTTTATCCATTTCCGCAGTCACACAATCAATCAATCAATCAATCAATCAATAGCTGAACTGGGTTCCACATAGTCACAAAAACAAATTAACTGGAAAAGCCTCAAAAACAAAAATGCAAAATGAATAGCAAAAACAAAAGCGCCAAACTTAGTCTGTTCTGGAAGTCCAATTGGCTTCCAAAATGTTCGAAAATCAAGGCACAGCTTCTGGTTGGTGCAGGTGCCCCGGAAACAATAGCCGATAGCCGCATCGGACATTCGGCTTCCGAAAAATGTTCAAAAACTGCAACACTTACTTCCGGGTTTTCAGCGTTTGAGAACCAAGGTACCACTGTATTGTAGTGGAGAACCGACCAGGCAAAGTGGGGCTTAAGCTGGGCACTTTCCCTTGGAAATTCCCTCCCCATGCTCAAGTAAGGTGTGGTTCCAAGCTCATGTTCCTAAGTAAACACAGGTTCAATGGGGAGGAATGGGGAGGAAGTCTCGTTGCACAAATGGACCTCATTCCGGTTGTGCAACTATTTCATTGACTACGGCTCAAAATAATAAAATCTGTGTTATTTCTTCACAGTACTTTTGGATGCAGCAGCTTGTTACGAAAGGTAAGTCTCCTGTATTTGGTTGACCTGGTTTTTTTGTCTCTATTGATCTGTTTTCTAAACAGTTTCCTCTTTTCTTAAGGTGACACTTCAGGTGAGATGAGTATTTATGCTACTTTATTTAAGGAGCATCACATCACCGGGAAACGACTGCTACTTCTGGATGAAGAGGACATGAAGGACATGGGGATTGTTTCTAAAGGCCACATGATTCATCTGAAGGTACTTAAAAATGCCTTGGATGAAAATGGGACTGTTGAGAAAGGAGCCCATTCTTGTGTGGGGTGGTGGTGGAGATCTTGTTTAAAATCCTTTTGTGGGGATGAACCATGTAGGAGGCCTGCATTTTACTGTGTTGTTTGAATGGATATTTTGTTACATATCGTACAAAATATCATTTTGTAAAATTGCTTTGGGACTTGCTGGTTGTGGGAAATGATCAACATATTTGTTATGTACTGAAGTTCTCACCCTGGGCCAGCAGGGGGATACTGTAGATATTTCAGGTCCACATATGCAAATAAGGGATCGGAAGTGACGTTCAGTGATTGGATAGTTATAGAAAGTTGTTACAGTTACATTGTACTGGAGCTCTATATAAGCAGGCTGGCTGAACCCTTCAGTTCAGTTCTGTTCTGACCTGTGAATAAACAAGAGCTGTTTGGAGAATCGCTGTGTTGTCTGATATGTTCACCCACAACTTAACAATATTTAACAGACTCATTGCCTATTTTATGTATTGAAAAAATAAAGGCCCTACAATTCAGGGCAAAGGGAGCTCTGCCCCTAGAAACAAGAATGAAAGCAAACCAGAATAATTTTTCATGGAATGCTGCTCTACCTGGTTGAACTTCTCTTAATGAAAAAAATGAATCCATAGGTCTTTATATTGTGCAGTTTTGTGTGACGTAGAGTCTGGTTTATCCTTATTTCCCCCTCTTTTTTTACTCTTAGACTGCCATTGAGAAATTGAGTCAGGACCACATCAATATGTTTCATTTTCCACCTCTGATTAAGGTAACCACGATTGTATTTAGAAAGTAAAATAGAATGAGTTGACACCTGGGAAAGAAATCTTGGTGCTATTGACCTCCATAATCTTGCATTATATATATTTGGGTCAGATATAGTTCTCTTGAGGTGCTAAGCCCATGTTGGGCCTGTACTCCTTCAGGCTCTGTAAGCAGAGCTAACATTCCCTGTATAGGGAAGTTTTTTAAGGTGTAATGTTTTATTATGCTTTTATATATGCTGGAAGCTGCCCAGAGTGGCTGGGGCAACCCAGTCAGATGGGCGGGGTACAAATACATTATTATTGTTGTTGTTGTTGTTGTTGTTGTTGTTGTTGTTGTTGTTGTTGTTGTTGTTGTTGTTGTTGTTGTTATTATTATTATTATTATTATATTTATAAACTAGATGCCATAAAGAACGATCCTAGACAAGTTAAGTTTCCTGTGTGCATGGTCTATGTTTCAGGATGAAGTACAGCCCAAGATAAAGGTTTACCATTTTATTGAGAATTAGGCCTTAGAAATGAGACAATAAATATTCCGGAGCCAGATCTTTGCTTAGTTTCAGAAAGTGGTAGGTTCATTGATACTCACAGTACTGAGGCGTAAAAGAAGGCAGGCTTAATGTACTTCTAATAGTTCTGTAGAAGAGGAAATTTCAGTAGAATACAATGCCTTTAGCACTGCCGTCTTAAAAATTGTCTTCATCTGTAGTTATTGGAGAACTCACTCAGTATTTGTACGTAGCTACCAAAGGTTTCAGAGGTCAGACATCTAAGCATAACCCAGCAAAACTTTGTAGAACTAAAAGGCAGTTAAACCCTTAAGACAAAGTTAAAATCTTTCACTGGCAGAGAAGGTGATACTATCACATGTTCCCTTGTCTATTTTTGTTTGTTTGCTGTGCTGTTTTTTTTACCGGTAAGTTATATTTACTGGTATATTTGGGCATTTAGGACCACATGGCTATAGTCTGAAGAGGCACTCTGAACCAGTTTACCACAATCCACTTATTCACAGTACTAATCACTGCTAGTCTGCACAGACTAGCCCTGCCAGCGCAAATAGCACAACTGCTTCATGCTGAAATAGTCACAGGTACCTTAAATTCCTCCTGTAGGAAATACCTCTTATTTGAGGAATTCCTTTTGCACATCCTGTTCTGCACTATCATCTCTGCTTGAGTGATGACTGGAAACTTGCCCGTAGTTTACAAGTCGAAGGAAACTGTTTCCCAAAATTGTACAATGCAAAATTACACTTGTTGTTTTTTACACTTGTCAGAACTGTTTACAAAGATGTTTAAAATGTTACGTTATTTAACCCAAACCGTCAAATACCCTGAATTTAAACAAACTGAGATCTGAAGCAAAAATGACTCATCCTTTCTTTCTGTGGTAGGATTCTGCAAGTGAAAATGAGACAAGTGAGGAGAAAGTCGTGAACCTTGAACTCGTTTTTGGGTACCATTTAAAGCCTGGAAGTGGCCCTAAGGTAAATGAATAATTTGTAGCTGCTATTATTTGTTTTCTTCACACGAAAATGTCCCTGCATATATTCACCCAAGGTGAAGCCTCCAGATGGTTAGTATTTGGTATGATGGATTTAATCTCATAACAGGAAACGTAAATTTGCGCAGTTGAAGTAGATTAAAGTGCTCTTTCCCCCTAGCACAACAAATCCACCTTTAAAAAAAGAAAATGGCTTTTGCTGTTAGGAAAGGGAGAGGAAATGCATTAAAAAGTGTGGGATGAATGCATGATTAACAGGAAGACGTAAAAACGCCCCACAAGCAGATCAGGATGAATGCTCATTCTCATATAATATTTGGAGCTTTTCCATTTAGAGAAACGGCGAATAAGGAGGGCGTGGTATTGGCGTACAATATTCTTGTTGGCGTGGAGAAAGTGGATAGGGAAAAGATTTTCTCCCTCTCTCATAATTTTAGAACTTGTGAACATTGAAGGTTGGAAGGTTGATGACAGACAAAAGGAAGCACATGACACACAGTGAAACTACGGGGTTTGTTCTCACAAGAGGTGGTGATGGCCACCAGCTTTAAAAGAGGATTAGACAAATTCACGGAGGATAAGGCTATTTTCCAGCTCCACTGCTGGAGGCAGGTAGCCTCTGCATACCAGTTGCGCAGAGAGTGCTATTGTACTTCTGTTCTGCTTTGGGGATTCCCTTTGGGATCTGGCTGGGCAGAAGGCAGAAGCAGATGAGCCTTTGGCCTGAACTGGCAGGCTCTTCTTATTTTCTCAAGTTCGCTTATCTGCAAACAGATCAGAATGAATTCTCAACGCAGACCAGATATGGTCCAACCTCAGTGTAAGCTTCGTGCCAGCAAATCAAGATGTATGCTCAATAGACAGGTTATCTGGCAGTTCCCTCCAGGGCTATCTTTAGCATATGCGCCGCCGGGGTGCAAAGATCCGGCCAGCGCCCCCAATTGGGGGGGGCAGGTCAACGTTGTTGAGCTTTTTTTTTAGGGGCACAAGTCTAAGTTGTTCAGCTTTTAAGGAGGGGAGCAGTGAAAACCGCTAACATGAAAAATTAAAAAGCGGCATCAATAGCTCCGTCTTCCGTTTTGGCAAAAATGAAAGACACCAGTAGGGGGTGGCACCAGATACATTGATTCTGCCCCACACCCGCGGGTACAGACAGCCCTGGCTCCCTCACCGCGAGAAGCGAGGTTATAGGGAACCAGGCAGAGGGCCTTCTCGGTAGTGGCACCCTCTCTGTGGAACGCCCTCCCATCAGACGTCAAGGAAAGAAGCCACTATGCAACCTTTAGAAGGCAGCGCTCTGTGGGGAAGTTTTTAATGTTTAATGAGTATTATTTTGTATATGCTGGCAGAAGCCCAATAAAATCATCATCAGCAGCATCTGGAGGAACCCAAAATCGGCAGAAGTGTGCCGAGTGTGACTCATCCTGCTTTTCAGTAGTGTGGCAGGGATGTTTTGTTCTTCATGCCAGAATGCTAAGAACCAAACAACTCACTAAGAATGAGCACAGGGCTCAGCATTCCCTGGGCTGCCATACTTCAGAATGAAAGAGTGGGTCACATCATTGAGCACTTTCCCATACCCCAATAAGTTGCTGTTTCTGGAAAACTAGGGCATCAAGTTAGAAAGGTTCCAGACCAACCTTCTCCGTGGTGAGCTGGTTTCCTGTAAGATGGTCTTCTCTTCTAATATCTGGTTTAGATTGAAGCTGAAATCCAAAGTGACTGAAAAACAAAACTGAGAAGCTGTGGGCTATATCTCCCAATTCAGACGCTCAGTTCCCTGCTTGTTAAATCAGAGTTTAGCAGCCAAGAATGAGCAATGAGACCCCTCTCCCCTCCCTCAGGCCCTACATACTGGTTTAATTAAACCATGGGTAGGCAAAGTAAGGCCTGGGGGCCCGATCCGGCCCAATCGCCTTCTAAATTCGGCCTGAGGACGGTCCAGGAACCAGCGTGTTTTTACATGAGTAGAATGTGTCCTTTTATTTAAAATGCATCTCTGGGTTATTTGTGGGGCATAAGAATTCGTTCATTTTTTTTTCCCCCAAAATATAGTCCAGCCCCCCACAAGGTATGAGGGACAGTGGACCGGTCCCCCACTGAAAAAGTTTGCTGACCCCTGAATTAAACCATAGTTAGTCATTCTGTCCAAAATTGGGGTACTAGGCTTTCACGTTAGTTTCCTAACTAGGCTCTTAAGCCAACTTCAAACTGTTCTCGTAAATTGACATGGTCAGAGCCAGCTAAGTCATACTCCGAGTTCAATGTGAGGTGACTGGGTACTTTCTTTCTGAGATGGAAGGCCAACTGAGGCTTAACATGGACCACTCCGATCTACTGAAAACTTATGTATCCGTTCCCTCAGTGCAAATAATCTCGTATCATGAATTATGTTTGCAAAAAGTGTTTTGACTGGCTTGCAAATGTCACTGTGTATGCCGAGTTGCAAGCAACATGAATACTGTCTTTAGGCAGCGAAATGTTGTCGTCTATTGGACTATATACCATCCGGTGAGAAGATGAAATTACCAATAGTCATAATGAAGTTGCCTGAGAGAGATGTAAGTGGCAGGTTGACACTTAACCCACCACAAACAGAACATCCATTTAGTAATGTAGGCAAATATAGAAGTTCTTCTGTGTTTCAATCTTTTTTTTGTATTCCGTTTAATATATTTAATTGTGCTGCATCTGCTTTGCATTTAGAAGACCCTTGGGTTGTACCCCAAGGTTAAGTATCGGGAATAATATATCCTAACTGTAAGAGCAGCTCAGTAAGAGAATTATCTACCTTTCGAAAGATTATGAAATCAACTTCCTTGGAGGTTCGAAAAGGAAAAAAGAGGAGCTGTTGTGAGGGGGCGTTTGTTGTGGGTGCTCTAAGTATATACAGTGGTACCTTGGTTCTCGAACTGAATCCATTCCGGGAGTCCGTTCGACTTCCAAAACCATTCGAAAACCAAGGCGCGGCTTCCGATTGGCTGCAGGAGCTTCCTGCACCCAAGCGGAAGCTGTGTCGGATGTTCGGCGTCCGAAAAACACTTGCAAACTTGCAAACACTTACTTCCAGGTTTGCGGCGTTCGGGGGCCGATTTGTTTGACAACTAAGCCTTTCGAGAACCAAGGTACCACTGTATGTTCCTATTGTTGGCAAAGGGGTGGACTCTTGTCATTCTTCCAGCTATACGATTCTAGGAGGGCTGAAGATAATACTAAGATTTCATTTAAATTTAGCCTTTATAAAGGAAGTAATTGAGGGCTCACCAGACCACACTATTTGACACACCTTTTGGTATAAAAACAGAGATGTCTATAGAGTTGTTTAATTGAAAGGCGACAAAAGCTTGGATTCTCGAAAAAGCACATCTAAAGATTTAAAACTACATATCAAATTACAAGAATAATCCACTGGTATTCTTTGAAAAAAGATGGGTATTGTATTGGCATTCTTGCATTTATGATACTGCTTAGACAAGCAGCCTGACTCGAAACATAGAGTCCAGCGTATCTGAACATTTGTACCCAGCAACAACTTCCTACCAACCTTTAAAAAATGGGGGGGGGGGGGGTTTGGACTAGATCAAGCTTCCTCAAACTCGGCCCTCCAGATGTTTTGAGACTACAATTCCCATCATCCCTGACCACTGGTCCTACTAGCTAGGGATCATGGGTGTTGTAGGCCAAAAACATCTGGAGGAAGCCTGGGCTAGATTGCCTTCATGGTCCCGTCCAACTCTAAAATTCTATGGTTCTACAATACTGGCTTCCCAGCTTTTCCATTGGCGCCACACACACTTGAAGCTCTTCTGGGTTGGTGTGCAGCAAATCTGAGCTTAAGCCCAAGAGACTTTCAGAATACCGCTCTGGCAATCACTTCGACAGTGGACAAGCTTGAAACCACAGCAGCTCCTTTCGAAATATAATTTCCCGTCTTAGAATTCCATCCGTCTAAGCCACTGAAACCTGCTGTTTGCAAAGTGCTGGAGACAAACATCTATTTCTAGTACCTCAGCAATTCATTATTATGCATAAATTCTACCTCACAATACTTGAAAACAAAGAGAACAGCAAGCAAAGCATAATTCCTTTCTTTCTTAATAAAAAACCAAACCAAACCCCCCCACCCTACAATAAAACGCTGCCTGTTTTAATTACATTTGAGGGGTTGATTCGGTGCTCCTTGGCCAAAATAGCAACCGATTTGGGATGGTTTCCTAAACCTTGCTGGAGCCTTTGTAGTAGTGAAAAGCCGTAAGTTACGTACACTGATGTTTCGCTCCATTTGTTTACCGTTTTTAATAAACACCTCTTCCCTAAAACCAGGGTTTTAAAAAACCCAAACACTCCCCCCCCAAGAAAAAACCCAATAAAAAACAACAACACCCTGCTGTGTTAGCAACCCCTCTCTTCCCTGGTTTCCACTTGGCAGTGACTCCCTTGACCCAAGGCTGGGGCCATTGTTAAGGCTATAACACATTTACATATTTTGCAATAAAACATCAGTTATTTGCATTACTGTGTCAAGTTTTATTTGATTCTTTCACCTAAAAATGACTCATTTTCCTTTCTTGTATTTTTTTTCCAAAAAAAAAAAAGACCAAACTACTCTAAGCTTGTTTGAGAATAATCAAAAATTGCCCATTTAGCTAGAAGTCATTTTCTTTTCAAAAGGCAAATGTTATTTAATCTTTCAGCTGTTCATTGTGCCATCATAAATACTTTCTTTTCAGCACAGTTGTGGGGACTGAAATGAGCCCACTAATTGCCTCCCATTTCGACTGACATGTGGTGGTTTAGTGGAAAGGGAACACAGCGGGGAGAAGGAAATAGGAGGCTGAGAAAATGAGAGCTAATTATTTTCACTGCCTCATGTCAGGCTCTGTGTCAGCCTTGTTTTTACAAACTGGAAGGTTTAGCACTAAATAAAACAAACTGGCGTCATGTTTTTATATACTGGCAGTGTCATGGAAGCAGCTGCAGATC